ACGTACCAGCGGACACTACTCTCCTTCTGCCTGACTAGGACCGGGGCAGACACCCAATCTGAGGAAGATGGCTGGATAACTCCGGCCTCTTACATTTTGTCTAGATGACCCTCTTCCTCCCCCTGGAACACAGCAGGAGTGCGGCGCCTCCGCTGTTTAACGGGAAGTGTATCGCCAGTATCTATCCAATGCTCTATCTCGGAAAAAAATTCGAGGGCAAGGTCATCGACAGCAAAGACATCAGCTAATTCTTTAACTAGCTCTACAGTTTGAGACTTCACCTCCACAGGCGCACTCTTCCCTTACTGATCTAGGAGTGGGGCTATATGTTTATGACTAGTCTCCCCCTCTGCTGACAAGCGGCGCACTGTGGGATCGGTAGTATTAACAGACATAGCAGGGGCGGCTTCCCCTACTTTAGTACCAGTCTTGATTATATGACTTCTGTCAGTCAGGTTTAGTATACATAGTTTGGCTTTAATTCCTGAGGCATTATATGTCCGCAAAGCCACTATACCAGGCGGAAAAATACTGGCAGGCTCTAGCATAAACTCTGGCATTTTCACACAAAGGGCGCACTCGATAACTTGGGCAGTGTGCGGAGGAACCCGCACCCTGCGGACTTAAACCGCATCGAGTACTGGCACTGTCTCTTAAGAACTCAGGGCAAAAGTCGTGTTTATGCCCTTGACCCTTAGCGTTCCTGCTTTGCATGAAACCTCTGCGCTATGTGCGCGCAGGAAATCGATTCCCAGAAAGATTTCATCTTGTAAGGAGCCAACATAAATCGGGTGAGCAAAATCATAATCCCCGATGCGAAGATTTAAACTTCCGCGGTACTGGGCGGTCATCCCAGCCCCCTCGCCTGCAAGCCTAACATTAGTGTCCCTAACAATTTCAGGCTGCAGCCTCAATGACTTATACACCTCCCCCGAGATTATTGTGATGTCAGCTGCCGTATCTATATCACCTTAATTTGCTGGCCTCCTAAAAGTTTAGGGATTCGCCACGTACCTGAGCCTATACTTCGACTACCTGACCTTACAGAGGGCCTTGACATTTGGAGTATCAGAAAATCTAACCCTACTAGCACTAGACGAACGCTCCCTAGACCTAGTCTCAGCAGATTTTTTCAGACACGAGCACAGGGACTCTGGGTTGCTCCTACGCGGACAATTAAGGTCATAACAGCGTCATTGACTTGCTGATTTCCCCCTCATAGGTTTACGAGTTGGGCTACGGCCCCTACTACTCTCCCTAGAGTCGTGAGTGGAACCAGTTTTCGGGTCCTTTGACTTATCTCGGCACTCGGAGTCCGAGAGCTTACTTCGGTGAGCAGGAGGCGAGCGAGAATCTTCCCGCCATTCACGGTCCCGCTCCGAGGAAACGGACCTTACAGCACTGCTCGGCGGCTTAACTGGTAAGTTTTTACTCTTTTTTATTGCCTCCGCCAGATGGGGGATTGTTGATCTACTGTTGACCCGCCACACCATCACTGCAGCCCAGAGCAAATCTAACACCTAGCTGCTCCTGGAATATTTCGGGCGAGGTTCCGCCACCAAAGGCCTTCTGGGCATTGTCCATGACCTTATCTGCCCACTGTTCCTTCTGGCTTTTGGGCTATCGAGCTGAATTCCAGCTGTGCGGCTGCCCTTAAGGAACTTTTACCAAACCTCTCCTCCATCCGGAGGACAACTTCTCGGGAACTAAACAGGGTCCCCCTGCGACGCAGGATATCGAAGTACTTGAGCGCTGCCCCCATCCAATGTCAAACTTAGGGCAAACAGACGAAGTGGGTCACCCCACTGATGGTATTCCGCGATTGTGGAGAATTTTGAATAGAATGGTCTCCACTCTACATCCCCATTGTACTTCATCCACTTTATTTCAGCCTGAATATTCCTGCTCACGCTACCCCGAGTACCAGGAGGAATTAAACTCGGAAAATTGAGATGTATCGGCAGTAGTCATTAAAGTGTGACCTTGAGGTACCCAAGACCACCCACCTATTCCAGGTACAAATGACTGCCCTCCCCCTAGTGCCGCCGACTGCCCAACCAATCCACCATAGTAGCCAGAACTCTTGACTACCCAGGTAAGCTGCACTAGAATACACAGATGCAGTGGGTGCCGTAATTGGCATGCCCATACTCCCAGCAGCATGGCCCGGGACGGGTGGGCCCATGCTGGGATGTATAGGATATTTCCCACTCATTTTGTCCCCTGATAAGAACGAGCCAAATGTAATAGTACTCGGCAAGCCCAAGCCAAGACTTTTGTAGCCTATTGAAAAAAGTGGCTGACCTTCATATGCAGAAACAGACTTGACCCCAGAATTATGGATAGAAACAGATCCGGGACTCGACAAACTAGCTACAGGCTGCTCAACGGGAAGGCACTGCTCTGTCAATGAGCTAGGAACCCAGGGACTCCCCTGGCTACTAATCATTACAGTCATACTGGCAGTGACCTTGAGCTCCTGCAGTTTAGTTACTGACTGCGGTTTGTCAGATTTCATCATTCCCGCAAGCATTTGAGTTATTTCACTTAACTGAGTCCCCATATTATTTTCCATGAAACCCATATTCTTGTCCATGGAACCCATATTCTTTTCCACGGATCCGAGCTGAGAGTTAATATATGTGCGCAATAAACAAATGTCTCCACGCAGGGCCCCTACATCCTGACCGAGGCTGTCTACCCTGCTATTAACCGCACCAAGGTCAACCTGAACTTGGGAAATATTTCCCTGAATCTGACTAATATCCCTTTTACATGTACATTGACCCATCTCCCCCTGAATTCGGTCAACGACCCCCTCCAGGATAGTCTGTCTTTCCTGGAGCAGGGAATAAAACTGCTTGAAACCGGATGTCTTCAAAGACCCATCAGAATCAGCCCCCCGTGTAAGCGACATGTCTCCGCCCCCGTACCGGGTACGGTGACATTATCCGGGGCACCTTCCCCTTGGGGCATCGGTGTACTATACACATCCGGAGCAAACCTCAAGCTTCCGGAAGGCGGGACTTCACGCGCGGACTGCGCCCTCCCGGGGTATTCACTAGACCCTCTTCGTCATTTCCCCCAAACACGAGCGTCCAAATCTCCACTAGGCCTCAAAATCCCCCTCCCCACACCAAAGGAACTGAAATCTCGGTCCATTATGCCCGGCAATCACTAACACGGCAGAATATAAATTTACATACACCTGTTAATCTGCTAAACAACAAACTCAAGTATAAACGTATAAACAAAATAAGATAAAACAAATACTGTTGCCTTACATCTCGGAAATTATCCAAGATGGCGACGGGCACTTACACGTGCAGGCTAGGTATTACCCCGCAGTTAAACTAAAATACCCTGGAACGCCGCACCAATAAAGCGTTTCTCTCTATGATACCCAAGTGCGGTGATGGCGGAACAGAGAAAACACTGGTAAAATAATCCGCAATTTACAAGTGCCCGCTATATACTTTATACATGTATATGTACAAATATAATAATGACGGAGCTGACAGAAAAACGTCTGTACTCTGCAGCAGGTAACAGAAAAGAGAGAGCGAGGATAGGAAAACGTCACAGCAGGTGCGTGTCGTGTACCACGTGGTCGGAGGTAGCAGGGAAATCCGTGCCCAGCACCTCCGAGACCACGACATGAATATCTGTCACACAAAAAAAATGGATCCGACAATAAAGATAAAAATGTTGCCATGTCACTACTGTCAATACTTAAAATTGCAGATCTCAACAATCCATGGAATAATTTAAGAGTGACCCCTCTCACCCACACACACGCGCGTAATATTTTAACTGGTTTAAATAAAGTCGATATTCTCGACGGATAACGCCAAGACAGTACATCAATAATGACAGTGTTATTAAATATGTTCAGTGCGTGCAAGTAGGGACTTTAAACCGACTCAATATTTTTTCTCGCAATAAAAATGTTCATCAGTCTGATCTTCGACATACAAAATATAATCGCTTTGGTCAGTTATATCGAGGTTATTTTTGGGGAAATAAAATGAATGTTCTTATATTACGTTGTATTACTGTCTGAAAGATTTTTTTGGGATCAATACTAACTTTAACTGTTAACTTTTAAAAATAAATCTTACAAATATATTGACCAATCTCGGATTGTTGAAGCAGTAGATGGAGTTTGACAAGAGATTTTTGGTATTTGCAAGTGTGATGCGCCCTTCTGGTTGCACTATCCGTAAGTTGAGACCTCGAAAGACTGACCACAGAAAGAATATGGTTGCAGGGAATTTACTTCACGGAGTTTCAGACGAAATACAAATTGATGTGACCGACCTAGAAAATTCATGATGGCGCCCGATGTGTACCTTGTGTATTATTAGGTAGGGGTATATTTAAAACAAAATAAGTAACGTCAGGTGCCTGTGATTCCAATTAACATAAAATCTTTTAATAATACTTAAAAATCATTTTTGATGTTTGACCTCTCTTATTTTCTCCAACATATCTCCTTCTCTCAGTTAGCTTTGCTTTATTACATAATTGAAATGCCATTCTATGATTCCTTTACAGGAATGCATTATACTTAGGTGCCCTTGAAGGCTCTTTGGTCATTTGTTTTTGAATGCCATTACATATATTCCTATGTACCCGGTATGTAATATTATATAATGCCTCATTTTCATTTTTTTTTTTTGACGAATAGATCTGTGTTCTTCTCGAGGCTGTCAGCAGATATGTGTAAACACTCCTGAAGGAGCTAAATGCCTCTGTGCTGATGGTTACATACTGTCCTCAGATGGTCGGTCATGCACAGGTAAACTTTTTATTTCAATTAAGTATTTGAGAAAATAATACACAACTTATATGATAACATTCACATTAAAACTAAAATGTTCAAATTCATTATTATTATAGAAGTAGATATTTCTTTTCTTTTATTTATCAAATTTTATGTAGACCGCTCTTGGTTCCATGATAGAGGCTTTATTATAAGCAATGCAACGCAATTTGGAATGCTGGAAGTGCGATTTGTCAGTGGTAGAGATGTATGGTTTCCCATTATTGAATTGTCTTACTCTGCTATTGAGACATTTGCAGTTGATGCCAACTTACATCTTATCTATTTTGTGGACAGCAATAGTAATGAACTGAAAGAATTGAATATAATTAAAAGCACGGTAACACCGCTAGCCAGTGTTTCTGTTACAACAGGTACGTGTTTATTTATAAAACTTTTGAAGTTTTAGAAAATTGTAAAATTTACATGTGAATCAATTTCTCTATTAACAATCAGGTGATTATTGTCACCCTAAAGGTACATATATGCCTCAGCAAAGTTGAAGGATGGAGGACATATTGTTATTGTTCCTTATTTTATCACCAGTTCATGCAGATACATGCAGTTTAAATAAATGTACTGAAATTTCATAGTCATAATAATCCAAAAGAGTAGTAGTACGTGTAGTAATCATGCCAACTGACGGAAGGTTATTCTAAGGTGACAAAATACATTATTATCCTTCAGAATTATACAGTCAATCTGACTGGTTTATAAATTAGGAGCAGTTCTCCAAAAGCTGGATAGAATTCGTGATGTCTCCCTAACGTGCAGGGTGACAACTTTGTTGTTGTCTCCCTTCAGATGATATATATATATATATATATATATATATATATATATATATATATATATATATATATATATATATATATATATATATATATATATATATATATATATATATATATATGCGGTAAACCATAAATTCTAACGGGGGCATTAAAGTGGTGTCTGTTGCATGACATACTTTTAAAGTATGGAATGAGAAGAGTGGAAGAGTGGATAGGATAACACAATAGGTTAGAGATATCTTTCTTTATTTTATTGTTAATTAAGATATTTCAGGATTATACAGTACCAACCAGACCCAACCTGACACAAAGCAGTCCCTGGGACTGCTTTCTGGGACTGCTAAAGCAGTCCCACAGCGGTCCCAGAACAATCCCAGAGCGGTCCCAGTGGGCGGGGTTAAATAATTTGATGGGCGGAGCTTACTCAGAAATGAGATTACCAATAAATAATGTAACTATAAAAGGCAGTTGAAATTGATGATGCATTTCTTTCTGAGTAGTATCAACAGATATTTACAATTCTTATGCGACAGTCATTTCTGAACTGTTAAGAAAATCACAGTACGCATATAGAAACAAATATTAATCATTATTGAACGAAGAAGACGTTCACACCTATTAAAAATAAATCATTTTTTTCTGTGATTGATATTGGTTTCCATATTTATTTTTTTATTTTTTTTTTTATAGAAAATTAAACTTGAATTGTTTATTTTTTACCAGAATTAGCTTTAAATAGATCTTTTAATTATAGAGCAAGGCCGATTACCATAGTATACTCTGAACGCAATTTTCTTAAGTATTGGAGCTTTTGAAAAAATCTTTGTTAAATTTTGCCGAATTTTATTTTTCAGTCATGGTTTTTTACACTAACTTGCCCTTTTAATTATCGTTAGATTCTCTATGTAACAGGAAAAATTAACACTCAGTTTTAAGTGTTTCATTATATTATGAATGTTCGAATGTACATCTGTAAATCAGATTATGTTTAAAATTAATAAATCCCGAAATAAATTTATTAATTGAAACAAAGATTTTTTGCTGTACATTGATTGAAATTAGTGTCATTGTTGACCAGCATGTTCAGCGATGTGTAACACTGATACCCAAATAAAATGCATTGACTTTCTGCTAATCATTCCCGTGTTGACACGGTTTTATACAATTGTATTTATTAATCGGCCAGGTAAACACAAACAAAACAAATAAGAAACAAATCACAATTTCAGATATTTTCAAATGTTTATTTTTTAAATAAATATACTCTTTTAATAACTTGTTTATAAATAAATAAAAAATAATTCATAAATAAATCCCCCAATTATTATTCACATTGTTTATGTGACGTAAGAATGCCAGAATACTTTTATTTCATGATCATTTAATAAATTATTAGGGTTTTGTTTGAGGGCGTTAAAAAAAATAAATAGCATGGAATACTCTTTTTATCTAGCATGGTATTAGCTTTTTCAATTAAGAAAAAAATCCAGTACAGTACGTCCCTCTGAATATCTAACTGATATGACAAGTTTGTTTGAATTTTATTTTATTTTTTTAAACAGTGCTGATGCAAACTTTGAGTATATAATTTGACAGCATTAATTAATTAAATAGGCCTAGATAATTTTTGTTTCAAACACCTGTATAAAAGTTTAATTTAAGGGATAAAAATCATCTCCTGACATTCTAGACAAAATTGTGTAAATTAGCAGCCCTTGAAGACATTTAGTAATTACATGTATAAATGTCTCTACTTATTTTCAAAAAAAAAAAAAATTGTAAGAAATCCTTGTTGTTTTTTTTTAATTTTGAACTAAAAAACCTCTCTGCTGAAATTAACAAAACAACAACAGGGAGCCTGCAAATACACAAGGGGCGGAGCTATCATGTCACTCAGAACCTTTTTCACGCATGAGTGAACAAAGCAGTCCCAGAAAGCAGTCCCTGGGACTGCTGGGTCTGCTTTCTAAAGCAGTCCCATAGCGGTCCCAAAGCAGTCCCTGGGACTGCTTTCTGGGACTGCTTAGGTGTAAGGTTGGGTCTAGTTGGCTCTGTAAGACTAGTATGGACTTTTCAGAAGGGAGACATCACGAATTATCAGATGTGAGTAAAGTTGTCACTCTTAGGCGCAAGCGCCCTCAAGTGACATCCCTATTCTTACCTGATAATTTGTGATGTTTCCACTCAATATAATATCCGGAATACCATTTTATTTTACAAAGTATAACCCTTTAAGGAATATAATTGATATCGAATGTCGGGAAGTTATTTATTGCCAATCTTCCTGTTAAATAAAAAAAAACCTGTCTTCCTTGATCGGGATCGGAATTCTGTAGTGACTTTTATTATGTTTTCGCCAGGTAGTCATGTAATTTTTGCACTGCTGATTTATGATTGTCATTAACCTGTATTTTTATTGATTCACAATTACTTTTCCGAGTACAATGAAAATCTTGTGCAGATTTTTTATGTATAATTTATTGTCTTTTTCCCTGGAGTTGAAGAGTTCCAATAATTAAAGGAACTGTGTGCTCTTTTCACACACACTTTTGTACCGTGTGAATGTCGGGGGAATTAGTTTGTAGTACGCCACTTGGCTTTCTACTGGTTGCTATATCTGTTGGAAAAGAGAAACAAATTCCTTTAAATTAAATGTACTTCTTTATTCTTTAAGCATCGAATGGAAAGTGAAAAACATTTTAAACACAAGTTAACAAATTTCGATACACCCTGTAGTAAACTCAATGAGAGAAGGTATGATTGTTTAATGCTTATAAACTAAAGATGAATAACTCCGAAGAAATCAAATTATGCATAACGCTTATAAAGTGTATAAAATTCAGAAATCAAACTGTTACCTGTTGTCATTCAATAATAAGAAAACATCTTGAAAATGTTTCTTACACTTAGCCGACGAATTTCTATCGCTTAACAAATTTACCTTCCTACATTGAAGAGTTCACTACAGGTTTAACAGTATCAGCGCGGGAAGTTCAAATTTATAAACAGAGGTTTCAAAGAATCAAATAGAATCAAATTAAGAAACTTTGCATAAAAATTTCAATTAATTAATCACAATTTTAACAAACAATACAAAACACATTAAGTAAAAATAAATCAGTATCAAACAAGTACGCAAACAAGTTAAAGGTAAGAAAGTCAAACAATTCTAAAATTATGAATAAAGTGACAAACTCAAAGTTCACCAAAAACTTAAAAAAAATAAAACATTTGCCTATCCAGAATATAAAAGTTAAAATCTATTTAATTTATCAAAAGAGCATAAAAACAATATTTGAATGAAAATTTACTGAAAATACCAAAATAAAATTATTCAAGCTTACCTGATGGAAAAGAGAAACAAATTCCTTCAAATTAAATGTACTTCTTTATTCTTTAAGCATCGAATGGAAAGTGAATTTCATGAATTCGCTTTCCACCCGGCTTAAGTCGGAATAGCTTCGATGTGCTTAAGCTAATTTCGCAGAATTTCTTAGATGAGTTGACACTAATTACTTATGTTAACAAAACAGCGAAAAGTGTGAAAGTCAATTACCTAGTTTCCGAGAAAAGAGTTATTAACAAAGAAAGGATTAAGCTGACCGATGGTGAAAGTAAATAATTTTATCTATAAAAAGTTCCGATGTGTCAACTCAATCTTCGAAAGAATTTATTTCAAAAGAGGCCGAAATTGGAAAGAATTTTCTTATTTACCTAAAGGTTAGAACAGCTGTTAGATGTCCAGTAACATGACAATTGAGTACAAAACATGCCAAAATCAGTAGAATTGCCGATGTAAATAATTAGAAAATGAAACTGAATTTGCTAAATAGCACATATATTTCTATGTAAATTTATACTCAAATCTAAGAGAATGATCACTCAAAACATATTAAATTGATTATTTGAAATTGAATCAATTTGAACACTTAAAATAAAATGTAATTAAATTGCATATTTAAAATTAAGTGAAATATGATTTAAAACAAAAGTAAAAATTTCATTAAATTTCATGAGTGAAATTTCATGCGATATAACCAGACTGTTATAGATAAGTTTAACTTGATAAAGTCTAAACTTTTAATGTAACACTATATTTTGATGTCTATATATCATGTATATACTATTGTACACTTCTTCTAAAACAAGTTTGGATAAACAAAACATCTAGAATATATGTTAAGTATTTTTTTGTATATTTTTCTTTGAATTATACAAGAATTTTCATCAATTGATATCTTTTCAAAACCCCTGGTAATGCATGCTGATTTTTTGTTTATGAATATCTGATGGCACTATAATCTTAAATTAAGAATATCTTGAAAAATTATCAGTAGGTAATGTACGTTGCGTATGTCCTTAATTAAACATTATAATGAAATTGATAAATTTAAGACATATAAATTTATCGTATTCTATAACATAAACAGGCAATTAATAAACATTTCATAACATCATGTCTTTCCATCGTGTATAAGTATTACTGTATGCAGTAAGTTTAAATTGAAGGGAATTTTGATTAACAGACTGGTCATAATCATTTAGCAATCAATAATTATAACGATTCTTGGGTAATTGATATGATCTTTGCTGTAAATAGTATTTTTTGGAGTCATTATTGTTTTCCAAAGCCTCCTTACACGCCATTTAGATTTGAGTATTCTCAGTAGATGTATATAAAGCTATTGCTTACAATAGCAAGTTTTTTCTTTGGTTCGATTTTCTTGTTTTTCTTCGTACTATTTTTTCCGTTAAAAGGTAAAGATAACGAATAGAGATCGATTTAAAAAAATCCATAAACAATGCAAATATATGAAGAGGGTATACAACACGGATCCCTGGAAATTCCAGAGGTGTGATCAGGTGCCTAGGAGGAGTATCCATCCCCTGTTGACCAGCCATATCCGCCGTGAACTCTATTTATTGATCAGGTAGACGGACCTATCCGTAGTCAATCTAGTACAAACACAAAGGTCTAAAAATTGGTATGAAACAAGTCAGCCGAAATACGACCCAATGATAGGTTATATTTGCTATCATTATAACGACCATAATATTTACGAAATGCTGACTTTAAAAGTCAGAGGCTGTTGAAATCCCTGTAACATCTGAGGGGCCCGTTTTACAAAAGAACTTACGACTAAGACCAAAAACTTCAGTTGATTGTAAAATTTTGCAAAATTAATGATTCTATTTAAACTTGATAGCGTAAAAGTATCTTTCTACATACTTTTTAAAGATATGAAAACCATTTTCTATTGGATGTAAATAAGAAAGTTATTAGCAGAATTAGATTTTGGTCTTAGTCCTAAGTTCTTTTGTAAAACGGACCTGACTCGCACCTGTGTAGGTGCGTCCCCAAGTTTCTAGGTTAAATATTTCCAAATTCCTTAATGATCAAAAACCTTTTAGGTATACTTTTGTAGTATACAAAATTGAAAAATATTAATTGTTTATTCGGTTTTTAATTACAATATGACAACGTAGATTCAGTTCGGAGAGTTTCTGTTGCTTCCAATAGTAAAAGCATAAATCTCCCCTACAAAATCACATACTTTGCATTTTTCTTGTGATCAATGTTCTTAACTTTAATTTTCTAAATTCACGCTGCAGATTTGATTTTTGACTGGATTGCTAATCTTCTTGGATGGATTGAACCTACCCATTCCAGGATACAAGCATTTTCCCTCAATTCTCGGACGTCTTCACTGATATATTCAGTTCTTCTACAACCAACATCTCTAACAGTTGACGCTCATAATGGGTTTGTTGTTACACTACACTATGTGTTCCTTTATGCTAAGCTGAGTAGGGTTATATCGGTTGCATTTAGAGAGCAAATCTTCTTTATGGTACTTTGTTTATTCCTGAAATTCAGTTTTCGTTTAGAACCTTACATTATTTTTAAATAATGTTAAATGATTCCCAAGCAGGCTATTTACAAATGTACTGCATATGTTACTTTGGCGAAGCTTCGTTCCCTGATTTTAATATTGGATGTCATTATGAGTACTTTTCTAACCAAAAATACTCTACTTTACAATATATAACAGTTACTATTATAATAGTTTACTATAGTAAATTAAAGTTTCAAAGTTATCACTATAGCGTCATAGTAATCACTTATTAAACTTTTCAAAGTAATCACTAAAGTTAATCATAGTTAACATAATAGTAAATAAAAGTTTTTAAAGTTATCAGTCAATTAAAGTGTCAAAGTGATCAATATGGTAAATCAACGTTTAAGATTTATCACAACTCTATGGAACGCCATGGCTGCCTTATGTTAGACGACTTCATTATATGCTGTGGGTTCTTTATTATATGCTGTGGGTTCAATATTATAAGCTGTGGTTCTATTATTTTATGCTGTAGGTTAATTTTATGCCGTGGTTCTATTATTATATGCTCTTGGTTCATAATTAAATGCTGTGGGTTCGTAATTATATACTGGGGTTCTTTTCTTATATGCCGTGGTTTCATTATTATATGCTGTGGGTTCATAATTATATGATGTGGGTTCATAATTATATGATGTGGGTCTATTATTATGTGTTGTTGGTTCAAAATGATATGCTCTGGTTCTATTATTAAATGCTGTGGTTCTATTATAATATGTGTTTTCATAATTATATGCTGTGGGTCTATTATTATATGCTGTGGTTGCATAATTATATTCTGTCGGTTTATTAAATATTATTTTGATGACTAGAAACAAGGTGTTCGATTCCGGATTTTTTGGTTTGGAGTTTACGGGCTAAGGGAATTCTTATTTGTTCAAATGAAGGGGCAAATCTCGTAAGAAGGGATGATAATTGAAAATTGGGTGGATTCTTTAAAATATTTTCTCAAGAGCTGGCCTATAAATCTCTAAACTTGTGTATTATGTATTCATTATATATTAAAAATTAAGTTTGTTCAAGCGAAGGTCACAGGGGCAAGTATCTGAAGTAAGTTAAATATGTTGTTTTCTTTGTAACAACACTCTCCACCCCACCCCCACCCTTGGGGAAAAAAGGTCAACAGGAAGGGCCCCCATTCCTTAAAAATCGCTAATTATCTAAAATCCGTCAAGAGATCCCCACATTCTCAAATCATATATTTTCTTGTTCCAAGGTTATATCAAGACAAGTTCTATTGTACATGTGATTTGGGCCCCTGGGGTCAGGGTTGAATGCTTTTTCTTATATTGTCTAAGATCTTTAAAACTGTTGAGATTCCCACCCCCAAACCATTTATTTTCCTGTACCCATAAGAAGGGTCCCTGGGATCAAACCTGACCATGACCAGTCATATGTAGTCTTATATCTTGAAAATTATTAAGATCTCAACCCTCAAACCATATATTTTCTTGTACCTTGTGTCAAAACAAGCTTGCATTTGATTGTAAATATGAGGAGGGTCTCTGGGGTCAAGTCTGCCCTTTGATATATTTTCTATTATCTTGAAATGAATTGAGATTCCATAATTCAAACCCATACATTTTCTAATTTCGTAAAATTATGCATATACATATTGGAATTTCACAAATGTTAACATTTGTCTGTACCCTTCAATATTTCTTAGTAGAACAAGGAGCTGAGGTGAGAGATGTCTCCCATTGGTCCTCTTGTTCAATCTTTTTCAAATATACATGTCTTTTATTATGATTCCTTAACAGGAAAAACACTAATTTATTTTTTCAGATGAAGGGCTATGTTTTATTCCAATAAACAAATTTTTTTTTTATTTCTCAATGCTTACAGACAAAGCAGAAAATGTGTTTGTGTTCTAAATGTTCGATTGTTTTTAAATTCAATAAAAACTATTGATAAACAAGATGTGTTTGTGAAACACTGATGCCCCCGTAAGGCAGCTTAGTTTCTCAAATGCAAGTCAAAATCCAGACCAAAAGATAAAAAATGTTGTTTCCCAAAGAAAGGCCTTGTCTCGAGGAATATACCTGTGAAATTTGAAAGCCCTAGCTACAACTGTTTAAAAGTTATGGCGAAGGTTAAAGTTTTTTAAAGTAAGTAAAACGTCAAGGCCAAGGTCAAAGTTGTCGGTATTCAAAGGAAGGTCTTGTCACAAGGATAACATATGTTAAGTATGAAAGCCCTAGCACCAACCATTCAAAAGTTATGGCCAAAGTTAAAGTTTTTTCAAAAGTATGTCAAACTCCTTTGTCAAGGTCAAAGGGTCAAAGTGGTTGGTATCCAAAGGAAGGTGATGTCACAAGGATTACATATTTGAAGTATGAATGCCTTAGCATCAACCATTCAAAAGTTATGGCCAAGGTTAAAGTTTTTCAAAAGTAGGTCAAACTCCTAGGTCAAGGTCAAAAGGTGAAAGTGGTTTTTATCCAAAGGAAGGTCGTGTCACAAGGATTACATATGTGAAGTTTGAAAGCCGTAGCTCCAACCGTTCAGAAGTTATGGCCAAGATTAAAGTTTTTTTCAAAAGTAGGTTTAATTCCTATGTCAACATCAAAGGGTCAAAGAGGTTGGTATCCAAAGGAAGGTGATGTCACAAAGATTACATATGTGAAGCATGAAAGCCCTAGCACCATTCGTTCAAAAGTTATGGCCAAGGTTAAAATTTTTCAAAAGTAGGTCAAACTTCTTTTTCAAGGTCAAAGGGTCAATATGGTTGGTATCCAAAGAAAGGTGATCTCACAAGGATTAAATATGTGAAGTACGAAAGCCTTAGCATCAACCATTCAAAAGTTATGGCCAAGGTTAAAGTTTTTCAAAAGTAAGTCAAACTCTTTTGTCAAGGTCAAAAGGTGAAAGTGGTTTTTATCCAAAGGAAGGTCTTGTCACAAGAATTACATATGTGAAGTTTGAAAGCCGTAGCTCCAACCGTTCAAAAGTTATGGCCAAGGTTGAAGTTTTTCACAAGTAGGTCAAACTCCTAGGTCAAGGTCAAAGGGTCAAAGAGGTTGATACCCAGAGGAAGGTCGTGTCACAAGAAAAACACATGTGAAGTTTGAAACCACTAGCACCAACTGTTCAAAAGTTATGGCCAAGATTAAAGTTTTACAAAAGTAGGTCAAACTCCAAGGTCAAAAGGTCAAAGTTGATGCTATCCAAAAGAAGGCCTTGTCACAAAGAATACACATGTAAAGTTTGAAACGCCAAGCACCAACTGTTCAGAAGTTATGGCCAAGGTTAAAGTCTCATAAAATTTTGCAAAAGTGGGTCAAACTCCAAGGTCAAGATCAAAAGGCCAAATATGATGGTACCTAAAGAAAGGTCTTGTCACAAGGAATACACCTGTGAAATATGAAAGTCATAACTCCAACCAATCAAATTTTATGGGCAAGGTTAAAGTTGACAACAGAAAGAAAAAAAAGGTATACAGACAGACAGGACAAAACCAATATACCCCCGAGATCTTTCGATCCGGGGGCATAAAAATAATGCAAAATTGATTTCCAGTTTTATTTACTATATCAACTTTAGTACATAAATTAGGTTCTTAAGCTCTACGATTAATCGTTGATGTTTTAATACCTTTTAGTCCCAAATAAACAACAAAAGATAGTGTTTTTCAAATTTTTTACATGTTGTGGAAAATGTCAAGTCAATGCACTACAAAATGAGAAGCTTAAATAGTTCCACACAGTATTCTGTAGATAGTCCTGACTTAATTTATAGCGTTTTTGCCCAAAAGCAAAACACAGGTAAAAAGAAATTAAACAGTATATGTGTATGACGTGAAACAGTTAGTTATGTTTTAAAATCTAGTAAATGTACATGTATATCTGAACTGTCACAGTTTCTAAGTGTACCTTTCAACAGCATCCAAACATTTTGAAAACCATCTATTCCAACACTTTGACCATCCCGGTAAAATTCTTGGTCTAAAGCATTTTGGCATTCTTGACTGATCATTGTGGAAAGGGTTAAAAGTTTGGTCTGCCTTCTTCTGCAGTGAATTCAACTACAAATCCTCAACCCCATAGTTCTGCATATTTTCATGTTCATCTAGACCAACTGGGTTTTTTAACTGCTCTGAAGTCTGTAAAATTAAAGGGTAGACTTAAAATGTGCACAGACTATGCCTAGCCCATGCATCACTCAAAAATACAAGCTTTCTGTTGATGTCTGAACAGAATAAATAATGGAGAACAGCTAAATGAATTGTGTTGAGAGGGTCCAGAATATTGAGGTCCTTTATATGATAAAAAAGTTGTAAAAATATACAAGAACCCCATCGTACTGGTCTCTCCAAAGTCTTTCAAGCGCAGATTGTAAGTGATTTTTCCAATAAGCATACCTTTGTTAGACTTCATGTAGTCAGCCACGGAAATATTTTCCATACTTTTTTCTGATCTAACCCGATGTGGTAAACCATATTTTTCCACACCTGACAAAAAACACTGCACTACTGTTCCAGCTGTATCATAAACACGTCTGTGCAGTCTGCCAGCTTGTCTCTCACAAACACAATGTGCATCCATTCGATGTATGCTTTCTCTTAGTCTCAATCTAGAAACCCTTATCCCTTTTAAAATTATCACCTGTCTTATCAACTGTCTTAAGAGATTTTTTTCCACAGAGGGGAAAATGTTTTAAAATTTCCCCGAGTTTTAAATCTAGGACATTGTCGAATATTTCGGAAAAATTCATTTTACTTTATCCATACTGTGCCATTCTTCTGTAAATACATGTAATTCTTTTAGATATACTAAGAGAAGGTTCGAATTGTTGGCAATTGTGCATCCGTTTTCAAGAAACTTTTCCAGTGCTGTTGTTTTTGGAATATCTTACTTTGGACGACTACAATGAGGTCATACCCTTTTCGACGTTACAGCTCCATAACACACCTCTTTCTCAATCTCACCACATCTCTGGCATTTGAGATCCCCAAAGCCTGGAATTCATATGCAGATAATTTGCATACAATATCCAGTTATTTTTCAGCTCTGAATCTATCATGAAACATGAGTAAATTTAAATCCTCCAATACCTTTTCAATCAACCTTGTGGAAACTGCCGCCATTTCGTTTTAACATTCGGGACATTTAAAATATGAACCACTGCATATAATTTAAGTATACCACAGCATATAAATATGAAACCACATCGTATAAAAATAGACCCACAGCATTTTAATTATGAAACCACAACATATAATCATGAAACCACAGCACATAATTATAAACCCAAAGCGCATAATAAACACCCACAGCATATAATAATAGACCCCAGCATATAATAATAGACCCAAAGCATATAATTATGAACCCACAGCATATAATAAAACACCTAACATAAGGCAGCCATGGCGTCCCATACAACCGTGTATACAAATGTAATATTCTGTGATTGAAGTCGCAATTAATTTCACATTCATTGCACAGCATAGTTAATATCTAGTTTTGCAAATTTTTCTCATTTTGATAAAGTTAATTGTTGATGTCTTGTATTTCATATAATTCCATGCACGTTGCAGTTTATTTTTAACTTTTTTTAGTGATTTGTTTTTAAGGTGAAATATCCCTCTGCACCATTTTTTTTATAAGTCCCAACATTGATTTTCATCAACAACAGTATCAATACATTAAAATGGAAAATATTTTGAAGTATGATGCGTTGCTTACTTTTTCAGAAATGAATATTATGTCTAATCATGACATGAAGAAAATTTGATATGGTGAATAGAAAGATCAATAATTTTTTATCTCACCATAAAATTAAAAATATGAGGTATATATGAAAATAATATTTACTATCATACCTATCTAATTCACATTAGAAAACATAATGAAGCGTTGCTTTTTAAATCAGAATATCACATTGTTTTCTGTGCTTGTGAACTAAGAATGCAACCATCTACAGGAGTTATCGTTACTCAAAATATTTTTAGCAAAAAAAAGATTAATTGACTATAAAAATTCTGCATCTGATAGATTGAATATTGGAATCAAGATTACTTATCACATGATTTCTAACTGAAAACTGTGAATTCCCTTTATCTTCTACATAATTAAATGATACCTGTAAATTACGGGAAAAGAAAGTTTGAATTAATTACGAAGTCATAATGGATCTACCAAAGGACTGTCTAAACTCATTTACTATATCTTGACCTTAATTCCTTTCATTATAACATTATCTTCTGTTCTTTCGTCATATAAGAGAAAAATTAAGATGAAATATATTTACCCCTTGTTAGTTTTTGCAAACACTAGTTTTCTAATACGTAATGGACGCTTATCAAAAGAATCGTTTCAGGAAATGACAGGATCCTTACAAGCTTACAGTAGAAAAATATTATGTTATATGTAGTTGAGAGCTTCATCTTAAAAGTAGCATAAGCAATTTTAAAACATACAGCATACATATGCATTCTCTTTCGTTTAAATTGTAGTGATCTGTATTGGATTTCGGGAACATCTAGAAAGGTCATAATGAAAGGAAACTGGAATAGGAATGCTCCCCTCACCATTATTTCGGGCGACAATCTAGTTGATCCAAAATCTCTTCGATACGATGTGACTAGTCACCGGTACGTTATTCTTTGTTTCTAAACCAGTATTTTTGTGTGTTTTTTTTTAACAATTGAAAAAATACATGAATTAATTATTATCTAACTTCCAATTTTTTGAACCTAAATGTGTGAGAACCTGACCATTCATTTTGAATTATGTATATTCAAAGTTGTTCTATCATATGAATATCGTAACCAACTAAATCTTAATCCATTCTCAAGTTCAAAAAAATAGGTTTTCTTTTCTTTCTAATTATAGAATATACTGGCTAGATAATTCATATATTAGAAGCTCAATGACCGATGGATCGGATATTCAAAGACATGTCATGGCATCGGTTGCAACACATATATCTATTTCCAAGGTTTGTCAAAAATATGATTAACATAGTCTTTTTAAACATGTTAATTTTTCTTGAAAGAATAGTATATGTGATTATTAAGAATGTCTCGGATGGTTATAAGGACTAAGAAAAAATGGAAGAGTTAATAACAAAAAATCAATGCTTGGCTGGTAAGAATGAAATGGTTGATCATGTTTCAACTTTTTCTTTCTGAATCTGATTTGACCAAAAATTGTATGCAAGTATTTTATCTTTATAGGACTATTTCGGTTGGATAGGTGGTAACAGTACATACTTTGCGAGAAAGACTTCTGTGTCATATGAAGTAGAAATAGAAAGTGGGATGATAAATCAATCACATATAACCGTGTTCGATTCTTCCCTTCAGCAGGATAGAAGAAGTATATTTTCCATAGTCTTGTTCAATGATTTAAAAATTAGTTTGAAGATTGAAATTGATTCTTATTAAAAATGAATATGAATGTAGTGTTTTCCATTCTTAGTACTTGTTTGATGATTTTAATAATTTTTTCTTCAAGTCTTTACGATCTGCGAAATTTTCATGTCCATATGTATCTCGATTTAGAAAATATTTATAAGAATTTTTTAGTATTTTGTCCATTAACTATTTTTTCATACAAAAAATTACTTTAGAAAATATATATTCGACTTAAAATATAAAAATTTCTACACTTCAAAATGTAGGCAGTTGTCAAATACTGAATGGGGGTTGTGAGAACATATGCGTGCCGAATCAAAATAGTCACAAATGTGAATGTGATTTTGGTCTACAGCTTAAAGAAGATGGAACATGCAAAAGCAGTGAGTATTATCTATAAACTCATATATTTTATTGAAATAATCAAGGAAAACCTTCGTAAATCTTTTCAATCTCATTCTCTTTTCTTTCTCCCTCACACAAACAAACACATACGGAGGTACATTTGTGTTCCCTCTACAAATTTAATTTATTGTGTATTTTACTTTATTCATTTTTAAAAATTATTTATGATTTATTTACATGTATTGAATTCTTTACTTATCTAATTATTCATTTATAGGTATATATTCGAGAAATTTTATTCTTGTATCGGACACTTCCCATGGAAGAATCCTTCAAATTGACATCAACACAGGAAACATAGTTAAATTACCTACAAGTATACGAGATTCTCGAGGAATTACGTTTGATAAATTAACAACAGAGATCTTTTACTCGGAAGCCTCAACAAACACTATAATGTCTACTACAGTCCATGGAGAGAACACGTCTTTGGTCTATGCGACAGGTATTTTAGTAGACCAGCGAAAATGCATGAATGATGAGCTAGTTTAATTCTCGTTGAAATCCCCAGTTACTTGTAATTTCTAACTAAGCTCTGCGATTTATTTTTTATTAATATTACAGGTTTAGCTATCGCACATCGTATCGCCATTGACTATTCAACGGGAAATATTTACTTCACTGCTGCAGTGTTTGCCTTTCAAAGTAGCTACATTTCAGTTGTACATAGAAAAAATTTATTTAAAAAAACTTTGATAGCAAATCTGTCGAGTCCAGAAGATATCGTCGTATATCCATCAAAAGGGTACGTAAATAGCAGTATTTTTGGATAAAACATGATAAATTAACTCGAGCTTCTTCAGAAAACATTTTTTTTTTCCTGTTCAATGTCTAAATTTTACTTTTTTTCATGTTAACCATAAAGGGTGTCTTTATAAATTTGTCCTTTCCCTCACTTAGATTTTTGTTCTGGACTGAAAATAAAATGGCAATAAGCAGATCGTATATGGATGGAACATCAAGAATGTATATTGCAAGAAATGATACTGGATGGCCGACTGGTCTGGCCATTGATTTTGCCGGTGAGCAAAATTCTTCTATTTTAATTACTAGTAGTTGAATGTTTTATTAAGTGAGGTTGTTCTTTCCTAAACGTAAAATTTTAATTTATCAATATCGTTTTAGCCAACAGACTCTATTGGGCAGATGGTTTGAAGAATACCATAGAGTATTCAGATCTGAATGGTGATAATCAAGGTATTCTAATAAAAGACGCTGACGCCCAATTGATGAGCGTTATAGTTCATGGACAATATCTCTATTATACTGCATGGAATCGACAGTAAGATTTCTAAATTAAAATATCTCTATTAACCTCTAATTATTTTTTATGTGTAGTATTTATCTATTTTCATTTCAAGACTAACCCTTAACAGAAAGATATTTTCTTTCAAAGAATGCATGATGCATACAATGCATTACATTTAGATCATACTCAGTAATCTGGAAATAGAAACTCCTGTAAAAGTAACTGGCATGTAGAAAGTCGTTGAAAGTAACTGGCATGAACAACTTTTATTCTTTTTTCATTATTTTATTATCATATTTTATTATTATTTTTTTGAATTAGATTTCAAGTCTTAGCAATGTCATTCGAAGCTTTTTTATTTTTTCAAATCTACATTGACAGACAGTAAAGAGAATGTTGACAAAACTATCCCTATTGCTAGTCTTTAAAATGATACAATTCATAACTTTTTATATACGTGACGTGTAATCAGATTGAGAAAAAAACCAACAAAGTATTTTTCCTTATCCCAAAATGGCATTATTTAGATATTCGGATTTGGATAAATTAAAATAAACGTGAATTAAGGTAGCCAACATGGGGGGGAGGGGGGGGGAGGGGGGAACTACAATAGAGACTCTTTACTTCAATACCAAGTGTAGCCTACACTGGCCTCAGCAAAACTAAACATGTTTGCTAAAAATGTTTACTATGACATCACACAAAAATATCAGTTCTTCAGATTACCACAAAATGAAATGATTTACTATTTTAAACTGTCGGATAGCTTTAAACTACATCCATACTTATTAATGCATGCATTTTTGACGTAGATTAAATCCCACAAAGGGAAATATAAACAATTCACTGCATGATCGGAATGCGCTTTTCAATGTGACGTTATCGTAAAATTCAACGCAGTTTGTATGCAGTGAGAGGCAGATCAAGCTATATTTTTATACATTGGAAAATGTATTTTGTAATCATATTAAATATTATTTACAGATTTATGAGACTATTAACTTTGATGCGATGTTTATTTTATAATTTAATTCATATACTTTCCAAACATTTCCTAGACAACTGATGCAGACGTATATTTGTTTGCAGATTAATTACTAGTCATAGGAGACAATTACCTGAACACATTGGGTAACATACGGGAATAAGTTCATCTGAACTGGTGAAATAAGTGAAATTGTTTTTTGGATTTTTAACGCAAGATAGCTACAGCACAGTCAATCAAAATTACTCAGTCTTGAAAATTCACTTTGACTAACGTTGCTTATCTCCCTTAGCATATGACGTCAGTAAGGCCCAGTCGCTGTTCAAAGCTATGCAATGTTTTCAAACTATCATGTCATTTTGCAGCTTAATTGTAAAGAATATCATAATCATGGCTTTAACCTTGTATAAATATACGATCTTCAAACAGGCTAGTATTTCTTTTTAAAAATTCCATTGCATATTTGCAAGATGTTTGCATGTTTTATCAGTCAAAATGTGATCATTTTCATCGTTTGACACTTCGATCTATTGAGAGAAAAATAAAGCGATCGAAAGAGAGAAAGAAGAGAGAGAGAGAGAGAGAGAGTAAGAATGAATTAATTCATACATTGTAACCAGGGCAGTTGTTTTTATGAAATCATTTATTTACAACCTAGTTTTACTTTCAAACAGAGTCCATCTCTGTCAGTATGTCACTTTTCTTGACAAACGATACGTACCTGCTGTGTAGTATCACATGGCTTTAAAAAAAAAAAACAAGAAAACAAATTTCTTGGGTTACTGTTTTATACAATTTAATCAACTATTATCATTTGACACTGTCTTTATATTCACTTACTCATGTACAACATCACCACCAATACCCGATCTCTGCCCCCCCCCCCCCCCCCCCCCGTGTTATTTCTTTCTTTTTGTAATTGAAAGTTCTAGAAATAATCGTGTCATTTTTAAACACACTGCAGATGGGTTAAAAACAACTCTAGCAAGAACTATACGTTAACTTGTACATATGCGAGTTAGTGCAAATGACGTTTAACATGTAGACCTATGTATTAAAAAAGGCAGCTCTAACATGTGGAAATATTTCTATGAAGAATAAGGGTTCTACCAAATGTAGATATTGAATGAATTAGAAATCGACTTTTTTTTATTTAGTAAAATTAAATACAAAAAATACAAAAAAAGTACGTATATTTCCCGACAATTTGTTAAAATATTTATCAAAGATCAGTATTTATGATCGTATACAAACCTATTTATTTTTCCTGTGTGTAATTATATTTACGGTTTTTTTTATTAGGGATATAATTTCAAAAGTTTTATCACCTGATAAAACAGTTAAAAGAACATTAATATTAAAATTGTAATCTCGCAAATGATGGATGAATTTGCAAACTGATCACGGACTGTACTGTTTACTACTACATAGTTACCTAGCATTTCAAAAATCGATATTGTCGAGTCAAACCGTGACTGCACAAAGTATCGGCATCGTAACAATCTCACTTGCTCTGGGCTCAATATTTCTTCGTTATTTATGTTATATTTTTTATAAAAGAATACGATCATGTCATAAACTCAGGGATTCTATCGCTACATGTATATCGTTTTTTGCAGCAATATGTGTGTTTCGGATCGGGGAAAACGAAACTTCAAAGGCATTTTCAGTGGGTCGCGCTTATCATGGACTTCAATACCACCGCCCCCGTGTTTATTTTTGGGATTCACGTTAGGGATATTCCACACATATGTGTCATATATCTTTCTTTAACAGAATATTATAGGCTTAATCAAAATTTTTTTCTAAGCAGAAAAGGTCACTCTTAATAAATTGCTCTATTCTATTTTGCATTATGCGATTTTTCTTGGAATAAAAAAACGGCTTAAGGACATTGGCAAGGTTCCTGGTTATTGTATAGAATTTTTCAAGAACTTTTGGGTAGGTTTAAATGTACTAAAAAGGCTATATTCTGGATCGTTTTACCTACTAATCCAGCATTCTTTTTTAGATTTTGTCAAATTAGTGTTTTTACAATTCTTAATGCATTTCCTATGTAAAATGTTGATAAAAGGGACCTACATAAATTTTCACCATAATATTTCTTCAAAACCCATTTATTTCATACAGTTTTTGTATTGTATACATTATTGTAACTTCATTTCCTATGACTTCTAGATATTTTGGTTGAAAATGTATATATAGAAAAAAGACATGGACATACCGGCACCGATCATCATTTTTGAGTTGCGTCCCTTAACAGCTAAAATTGGTCAAGTGACTGGTTGATTGTTTTTATCATGTAATTGACTGAATTGATTGAAATACATTGTCGTAAAAATATTGGCATGGATTTATTTTTAACTTTTATTCGTAATTACTAAATGCTGATTCCTTCACACGAGCTAAGAACTGTTCTCAGTCGGCATGGTCGACCTACCTTTCAGCATATGTCACATCTTTGCCCTTCCCAGCATACTGAGCATAACTATGGTAAATGACGACCTGTTTGCTCTTTGTCCCTGAATACAATGTACAACAAAGCCATTACTACTTTTCTTTCTTGCTGTATAGAAGATTCTACCCGTTGAAGGAAGTACACGTGCTTTTGTTTACCTCTATAACATACGCTTTACTGGTTTTCACCGCTTAGAGAATTCTACACGGGAGATCACTCTCAATCACTATTTTACAAGTGAAAAAACCCATGTATTAAACCTTTTTTCTCCGGAAAGCCCTGACTTGCCAATGTCCTTAATAACTTTTTTTAATGGCACAAAAATCCTCTTGGTATGTCGTATTATGTGTATTAAACAGGGAAATATTTTTTTGTTTCTAAAGGTTTGATGTAGAGTAAGTAATCGAAGTTGTAGCTTAATTTAAGCGTAATTTTATATAGGATATTCATCAGGATCATCCTCCGATAAAAAGCTCCAGTTTAGAGTTGCCGTGCCTTATTAACGACTCGCTCAAACTGAATGGACTGAACTACAAAATCAGATAACTCAACTGAAAGCATAGACACATTTATATTTAAAAAAATAGCTTAACTTAACAAGATAAAATATGGTAGAAATACATTAATCTAATGCTCTGTTTACATCAGTGGGCTCTTGTGACGTCATAAAACCACAAAATCAAGAACGATAAGCGGGTAAGAAAAGTAACAAGTGGAAAAGTTTTCACGTTTATTTTTCAGTAGAACAAAGGCCAAAAAATATTACTACTCGTAATTTAACATTCTTTCATACATAGCTTTATGTTTAAAAAGTGAAATCCTAGTTTTAAGAATCGTTTCCTATTACCTTTAAAGGGTAATAGAAATATCTTAATAAATCGATATATTGCAAGGGTATACCCTCAATGGATCCTCACAAGTTTTGACACATAACTCAAGAAGTATGGAGATATTTGAAAAAAGCTGCGAATCTGACGAAACCTTGCAAATGAATAATAATATCTATAATGTTGCTGAATTGCAAAATTTCAACATAATTACCGTCTAACAAATGTAAATTTGCAATTAGATAGTAAAATCAATACATGTTCGAAGTATTTTTCAAAAACTGCAAAGAGTGTTGAAAATAATGATAAATTTAAACTAGAGCTGAGCTCGTTGCAAAGCAACGAGTAGATCTTCCGTTGGAGCTGCGGGCAGGAGAAAGTGGCCTTGAGTGAAGGCCATGCCATATTCTAAGGTTATAAGCAATCTTTTTGTAAGGGGTATCAACAAACAATGTTTCACTCTGTAGTAAAAAGACGATAAAGGAATAACGTGACCTTGAACTTGTCCAAATGACCTTGCGAAAGCCATGACACTCTCTGGTTATGAGCAAACCCCATCTGTGTATTACTGACTCGAATTCACACATGTTCTTACAGTCCATACATCCAGTCAAAACATCTTATCCTTAGTGACCTTGAACTTGAGTTAAGGCCATGTCACACTCTGCATGATACCAGTAATGTTTCACTAGAAAAAAGACGGTAACAAATTTATAGTTTCTCATCCAAACTCATCCAAATAACCTTTCATCAAGGCCATAAC